GGGGACCGGAGCAGGCTGTTCCCTGCTGTGCCCAGGGCAGGTCCTGGGCGACAGTCCAGGAGGCAGACTGGTCAGCGTGCAAACACGGAGCTTGTGTTGGTCCCCTGAGGCCCAGAGGAAGCTCCTCAAGGGGAGCCTGAGGTCTCCTGTGGGGTGTGACTGGACATGATGGAAGGACCACCTGAACTAGAACAGATTTGGAGGTTTCTGGAACATATTCTTCTAGGATCCAGGCATCCAGGAGACCCAGAAGAAACAGGGGGCAAGTCTCTCTCTCTCTCTTCATCTTGCCTACTGCCAGTGGGAGCTTCTAGGAGGTCTTGACCACTCTATGCTGTCTTTATCAGCTCCCCTTGTCCCTGACACCTATTTAGACTACAGGGCCTTTATGTTAACCTCTCTCTTGCCAATACCTGCCCCATCATGTCACCATTGCCACCATGTCATCATGTCTCCAGGTGACACTCCAACCTGGGACCTGCATCTTAACCTCTGCATGCTGTTGAATAACCCTCCCTCCCACCCCCTCACCGCTACCCGCATAGCCCAGTCCATGCTTCTGTTCCTGCCCGTTATCCAGTTTCCAGCCTCCCTCGGGCTCTCAATGTCTTCATTCCCCAGCATTCTCCAGGCTCTCAAAGCCTCTGGCAACCTTGCTGTTTCCCTGTTTATTCTCCCTAGCAACTCTTTAAAATGGCCTCAATCTGCCTGTGATGCAGGAGACCTGGGTTCGACTGCTGGGTGGGGAAGATCCCCTGGAGAAGGAAATGGCAACCCACTCCAGTATTCTTGCCTGGAGAATCCCATGGGCAGAGGAGCCTGGCAGGCTACAGTCCATGGAGTCACAAGAGCTAGACACAACTTAGCGACTAAACCACCATCACCACTGCCTCAGAGAGAGTGGGTGTTGGTCAGTTTCCTGCTACAAAACTCACAAACTTACGTGTGTCCACATTCTTCCTTCTCTCCTATCAAAATAGCATCGTGAGCCCAATCACTCCACTGTGGGCTCCAGTCACTCCATTGTTGGCTCTGATCCACTCCCCACCTTCCTGCTCAGGGACTTAAAGACCTACTTCTTCTCTATCAATGTGGACCCATCATATCTGTCTGGTCCTAAAGAAGCTCCTCCAGGTAGATAGTCACAAAGACCCATGAGTCCTACCTTCTGAGCAGCCATAGAACCTATTCTATAAGACTGTCCTAGCAGACACCTCCTTGTCCAACCCTGTCATCTGGAGATGGCATCAATCTACGACTGGAGTCTGGCCCTCCACCCAGCTGATACCATCCTTCCCATGTTACAGTTGGGTACATAGATGATGATGTCCACTCCCTTTGGAACAAGTCCTCTGTGAGCAGAGACAGAGGCTTTCCCTGCCTCCATTTTTGCCTCTTCCTATGAATTCTAAAATACAGTTTCAGCCAGGCCATTGTTTTCCTTACAGTCCATCACTGGATTCCCCTTGACCTCAAGAAACTGTGCTACCTGCTAAGGAGACTCTGAAGCCCGGGAGGGGCCCAGGGCTCCCCTCAGGTATGCCCTTGCCTCTTGCCCGCTAATGCTCCATGTTTCCACCACTAACAATCTCTGTGGTTCCTCAAAGGACCAGTTCTCTCGTCTCTGGGCACTTCTGCTCTTTCTTCTTTCTGGGATTCTCTTCCCAACCTCCGTAGCTTGGCTGGCTGCTTCTCATGCCTCAGGAGCTTGCTGAGATGGCACTTCTGGGGCTGGTTGGTCATTTTTTCTTACTCTTTTTCTCCTTAGACCAATCTGGCCTTCAGAGGGCAGCCAGGCGAGTCCCAATCCCATTCTGGTTAGGTTACCACCCTAATTAAAACATTCCCAGGTTTCCCAATGTCCTGAGGACAAAGTGCAAATTCCTTAGCTTGGCTGACAAGACCATTTGACAGACAAGAGTTAAGAAGGAGCAATTTCCTGGTAGCAAGGTGGAGGTTTCCTGCCCCATGACTCTCATTTTCTCACGATGAGGGAGGCCAAGCTGTTTGCAGAGAGCAGTGCCGGGGGCTGCGGGGGGAATGATGCTGGGGTGTGAAGGGAGTGGAGGGAACTTGAGGGCTCCTGTGGGAGCAGGAGCTGGCCTGGGAAACAGTGTAAATTGTGAACTGAGTTTCAGACCCGGCTGAGATTGGTGATGGGGAATCACGGTGACACCAGGCTGCCTGGCTCTTCAGATTTCTCTAGTAGCCACTTGCTATGAGTGTTCATCCACAAAGGGGATTTTTGCTGGGAGGGAGGGACCAAAGGTCAGGCAGCTGGTTGTTGAGGAGTCTGTCAAGGAGTGGGTGAGAGGATGAGTCACAGAGTCTTAACCAGATGGAATGAGAAGACAGAATGGACTGCTTTAAGAGAGAGGGAGAGAGCGTAGGTGGTCAGTGGATAGCTGGTTGTGATGAAGACCAAGATGGGCTTTAGTGAGATGCTTTGAGCCACAACCTGGAAGTGGGAGGTTGTGGGGTCGGCTTTAGTGAATGAGGAAGTATTAATATTTTTACCGTGCCCAGCTGTTATCTTCCTTCCCATGTTATAATTGGGTGTATAGATGATGACTTCCACTGCCCTTTGGAATAGGTCCTCTGTGGGCAGGAGCCATGCTCCTCATGTAGCGTCCTTCCCAGGAGAGTCTGACATGGCCTGACCCATGGTAACTGCTCATCCAGACATTTTCATATGTAACTCTTCCTCCTCCCGATTTTCCATGTTTCTGTTTTCCTTTAGTTTCTTGAAAGAAATTTTGTGAAAGAATCTAATCTCGTCTCAGCTGAAAAAAAACCCAGGATGTAACCGCCATTTTACAGGATGGCGAGCCATTCAGTGGTTCTCTAATGGCCCAGGAGTTGGGTGAGAGTGACAGCCCCTTCTCAGGAGCCCCGGAAGAATGAGTTACTGGGGCAGATGGTGTGGGGCCTCAGGAGGGAAAGATTCAGGGCCAACAGCAGACAGTGGTATAACCTCCCGCCCTTCCCACTTCTAGGAGGGTCTCGATGAGCTGAGTCCTTAGTCCACCCATCCACACCCTACTACGTGCTGGGCTAGGAACACATGGATGAGCAGGACACAGACCCTGCCAGATCACCGTCTGGTTAAGGGGATAGATTCACAGAGAAAGAACTGCAGGCTGGTGTCTACAATGGAGGGTTTGGCCACAGCAAAGGGGTAACATGCTAGTGTAGGGAAAGAGGGTCAGGGAAGACTCCCAAGAACGTGGCTTCCTAGAGCCCAGGGTCTTGAAAAGTGCCACGGCAGAAGGGAGCCATGAAGCCTGGGAGGATGGTGAGAACATAGTGAGGTCACGCTGATGCTGCACCATGGCTGGCTCATGGGTGCGTTGAGTAGAGGGAGGCCAGTCTCGTCAGGGAGTCTGCACGTTAGCCTGCAAAAGCAGGGGGAACTTGGCACCTGAAGTCTTTAACCTGGATGCTGGGTGAAGGGTGAGACTGGGAGCTAGTTCAAGGTAGAGAGGAGAGGGGCTCACATTTGAATATGTGGAGTCTGAGATGCCCATGATATTCCCGGTGCTCCTCAACTTGCCTATTCTCTCTGCCCACGTTGTTCCCTGCCACGGCTGGCAACACCCTTCCCCTCATCCATCAGCTCAGCATTTTCTCCAGGAAACTGCCTTGATCTTGGCAGCTGAAAGCGATTTTCCTGTCAGAGCCTCTGTAGCTCCACATTTAACACCTCTTAGGCAGCACATCTGCCCGGCTCTCCCACCGCTCCTGGTTTCCTTGGTAGGGGTATCCCATGGTCTTCACCTTGCGAAGCAGGAAGTGATGAAACAATAACTCAGGCAACGAGTGTCCCTGCACCCACAGAGGGAGAGCCCTTTCAGGGCTGACCTTAAGCAGGAAGAGACTCTTATGCTCCAGCAGGCCTCCAACACTCCTCCCATGCCTGGGAACCCAGAGGTAGGCCAGCCGGTGCTGCGATGACACAGACCAGGATGTTCTGGTTTCAGAGGTGGGGTTGGGAGCTGCAGCCTCTGGAGAAGCCAGCTGATAAAACCTAAATACTCAGGCTTCATGTGAAACCAACACCTAAGCAGATGAGGACTCATCAGCCTCCCCGCCCACACCGCCTTCTCCCTGGGACCGAGGCCTGCCGCCTTCCTGAGGGTGAGCATCCCCTCACTCTTCCCCTCTCCAGCTTTCTAGTACCTATGAGGAGAAGCCACAGGCCCAGCTGAGGACACCTTCAAGGTTCCTCTGTTAGCCTGAGAGAGGCACGAAGTGCTCCTTGTGGGTGGGATGGCTGTGGGGGTGGGGGGGGAAGGGGCAGGGCCAAGGGAAGGGATGGTTTCTAAGGGAGATGCTTAAAGGCAATACTAGTAATAGCAGCCACCACTTTTATTGCACACCTGCCATGTGCCTGGCCCTTCCACACATCATCTCATTTGATCCTAACAATTGATGACCATGACTGTTTCTCTTAAGAGACTGGGGCTCAGGGAGGTTAAGCCACTTGCCCAAGGCCCTCAGCTGGTGAGTGGTAGAGGGGGCTCTGTCCCCAGGCCTGTCACGCCAGGGCCTGTGTTCTGTCCACTTCACCACCACTCACTCTCCTGGATGAAGAGGGCTCACTTTGCAGTCTCTGCGGGTGGGCAGCGACCTCTCCTGGGGAAACAGGTGATGGGTGTTACAGGCAGAGCTGGCTCTCCGAGGTGTTAGGAACAGGGGTCAAGAATCTTCAGGGATCCCAGACCCTTCTCTGCCGAGAGGCTCGGAACACCGGCAGACAACTCCATGAGCTCCAAGGAGAAGCAGTCCTCTCCTTGTGATGTGATGTGTGGGTGCAGGCCGGCTCCTTGTCACAGTCACATTTTAGTCCCTCAGCGGGCTGGGCAGTCCTGGGGACACACGTGCTGTCATTATCCCCTCGGTATGCGTGTGCACACACACTGGCACACACACTCACTCATACTCGGGCACGGTTCTGTGGAGGCTGAGGGCAGGTCGGGGGAAGGAGGGCCCGGGCTCGGTCAGATGAGGCTGGCGATGCTGGACGTGGTCTCATGATGCTGACCGGCGGACAGCTGTCCTGAGATGCTGAAGATGCTGCCGTTGCCGCTGCGGTCACTGCGGGTGGGGGGGGCGCCCATGCGGGTTGGGGGGCAGTGTCCGCTTACAGCCACCTGATAGAGCAGCAGGCCCAGCAGCAAGAGTGCACCAGAGGCAGCCAGGGTGATGCCCACGGACAGCATGGCAGCCAGCGGCCGGGCCGGGGCGGGGGCAGCAGCCAGCCCAGCCAGCGTCAGGCCGGTGACCAGCAACACCAGGCCGCTGAGCAGCACCACCAAGGCGTCTGCACCTCCTCCACTGCGCAGCAGGGCCACGTGGTGGGGCTGGCGGATGCAGTTCATGTCCTGCACGGCCGAGCTCATCAACTGCTTAACCAGGACCAGCAGGGCCAGCAGGCAGAGCGCCGTGCCCACTGCCAGGCGCCACTCCCCCGAGCGGCTGCTGGTGGAGGACAGCAGGGCCACGCCACCCGCCCCACAGCCCGCCACGAGGCCCACGGCCACGGCGAAGCAGAGCGCTGAGCGCCGCGGCTGCTGTGACCACCACAGCTCCACCTGCTCCGCCAGCACATCCGGGGGCAGCCCCTGGCCCCGCGGGGCCTGAACCTCTCCTTCAGACATGGCTGATCTGGCACGAGTGAGCGCGGAGGGCAGCGTCAGCGGGCAGAGGTGCAGGTCATGGCCTGGAGCCCCCACCACCTGCGTGGCAGCTAGAGGCCCAGAGTCCCATTCCTCGTGTGGTCCAGGGCCTGGTCACCATCACCTGCCGGGGAAGAATCACACTTGCTATCTCCCCAGTCCACCTGCCCCTTATGGTCTCTCCTGGGAGCCTTGGGGAATGCTCCTGTGTCCCCTGGGAATCCTCCCCATCCCCTGCATTCCCCCCACCCCAACCCGGCCACCCAAGTCCCTCCCTAGCACTTTCCCTTGGGAATGCCTCTCCGGAGACCCCAGGAGAGCTCCCTCCACCCAAAGCACCCCCAGCCCTCTAGGGAACCCCCTGCCCAACCCCTGACCTCTCTGGCTCTGGCTGTCTCAGTTGCCTGTCCCATTCCGGCTGGCCAGTGGAGCTGGTGTCACAGTGGACGATGGGACTGGATGAAGACTCGCAGATAAAGCCTCATTCAGGATCTGACTCACATGGCCTCAGCTGTCACCACTGGCTCCTGGGGGGAGGGTTAAGGGGAGGGAGGGGGCTTATGATTTAACCCTTCTGGAACCAGCAGCCCGACCCTGCATCTTCTCTCTTGGGGCTGCGGCTCCTTCTCTGCGAGTCAGGATCTGACCCCTAACACCCTCCTTCCCCTGAGGTCCCATCCAATCTCATAGCCACAGCTGCTGGCTCCCGAATCCCTCTCTCTGCCAAACCCAGATCTCCCTCCCAAGCTCCAGACCTGTAAGGTAGTAGTCACTCTGACGTCCCATAGGCACCTCTGACACAACAGGTCCCAACCCAAGCTTGTCACCTTACCCTGAACCTGCTTCTCCTTTGCGCTCCTCCCTTGGGCACATCCCGGGGACGCCACCTCTGAACATTCTTCCGTCTCATCCCTGCCCTCATCCCTTACTCCTGTACTTCAACTTCTGTCCCCCACAACTCCCTCACTGCTCATCCTGCCTCCCCCACGCTTCTCCTCTCACAGCCCCCCATGCCACGATTTCTCTAACGTGGTACAAAGGGAAGGAGGGCTCTGGACTGGCCCCCCACTGCAGTCCCTCCACCGTGGGTGTGTGGGCGAGGGATCTTGCAGTGGTTCCTCATCGAACACGTCCTCCAGAGGCCAGTCAGAGTGACTTCCACCAGGCAAAATACAGCATTCCAGGCCCTGCCACAAGGATCCCCAGTTTACAGCAGGGGTGCTGCTGTGATGAGTGCTGGGCTGTGGGTTAGTCAGAGAGGGGTCTGCAGGAGGTCAGAGAAGCCCCCATGAGTTCACCTCTTGGAGCTCATGCTCCTAATCTGAAAAGTGAGGCCAATAACCTTTATCTGGGGGGAGGGGGCATTAAAAATCTCCAGGTCAGAATTTCAGTGGGAATTCTAGGGCCCGCAAAGATGCAGAGTATTCTTTCTGAATAAAAGAACCCAGCAGATTCATGTCAATGTATGACAAAACCCACTACAATATTGTAAAGTAATTAGCCTCCAACTAATAAAAATAAATGAAAAAAAAAAAAAAGAACCCAGCATTCTTTCATCCAATTCAGGATGAAGATTCCTGCTTTATCTGGAGGACGCAGGCTCTAGGTCATTCTGGGAACGTGACTTCATGACTGTGCGTGGGTTACACCCCTGACGAGGTATCCGTCGTTCCAATCCCTCAGCAGGGGCTGCGTGGCACGTGAGGCAGGAGGGGCAGCTGCAGATGTCCCCAAGGGAGGTGGGGGAGGGGCCGAGGAGGGGCCCTGGCATCAGTCCCAGCTTCCCCAGGACTGTGACTTCTCCGATCTGAAAGTGCTTGCACAGGTGTGCTGGGACCGCGGGCCCGGGGTTGGGGGTTCTCAAGGGAAGAGCCAGTGGGAGAAGGTGGGCTGGCAGGGGTAGGGGACCATGGGGCACTCACAAGAAGCCTGGAATAGCTGGATCCGATCCCGAGCAGTCAGGGCGGGCAGGTGGGGCGCTCCAGCTCCGTTTCCGGGGAGGCGCTTCACCTGCCTAACCTACACCTGGGTGAGCTGAGGTGGGGGAGGGGGAGGAGGATCAACAGGTGTTTCCAAGGCAGAGCCTGAGCCGATTGGCTAACGTGGCACTGCTCCTTCTGCGGGGCTGAGGCATTCCAGGGAAGGGAGGGGCTTCTGTCTGCTGCTGTTAGGGCTAGAACACAATTCCTAGACCTGGATAGCAGGAAGGAATGTTGTCCATCTGCCCCAGAGACTGGGCCTGAGCCCATCCCCCAGCTCCAACCTCTGTCTAGCTTTAACTCCAGCCTGCAACCCAACCCCAAAACCCAGCTGCAGTTTTAAACCCTACCTAGAACTCCTGGATCTAACTGAGGCCTCCACCTCACATCTCAGCCCCAACTCTGAATCTCAAATCCCAATCCTAACCCCAGCCCCATTTCCAAATCCAGTTCCAGTCCCAGCCCCAGATCCCGACCCCAAATCTGACTTGAAACCTCAGTTCCAAATTCTGGAATTAGGTCTTGGACTGCAACCTCATCCTTGGCCTCAAACTTGACCCATTTCTGAATGTACCCCCCAAATTCTAACTCCAAACTCAAATCCTGCCTCTGCCCCAAATTCCAAAACCAGTTGTCCCACAAACCTAGCCCTACTACTTCCTTGTTACTTTCCCCTGGGCAGGAGCCCCCCAAGACCCTTGCCCATTTTCCTTCTAAGCCTCAAAGGCCTGACCAAGGTAGGTTTGCCCCACGTCTTGGTCCCGCTGAGGAGGCAGGGTTTGAGTGGAAAGGGAGAACTGGGTAATGGCTCTTCAGGTAGAAAGCAAGGGTTCCCTTGTTTAAAACACTTGCAGAATAAACACTTGGGGATAAATGCCTTTCTCCTTCACAGGCTTATAAAACCCCTGCCATCAATACCAGCCAGTCATTTTCCTCTGGCCCCTGCCTTGCAGCCAGAATGCCTTTCTTTCAGTTATGCATGCTCTGCATTGCTCTGTCCTTCTGCTTGGTTTTTGAACTCAGAGTTCCCTTTCCCTGGGATATTTACAACACCCTCAACCTCAGTCTGACCAACTTGAATTCTTCAGCTGAGATGTCACCTCCTCCAGGAAGCCCTCCTTGACCTCCAGGCTGGTTCAGGTGCCTCTACGGGGTGCCCGTGGCCCTGGGGCTCCCCCCACCACTGCTCTTACTGCATGTGCTATGTGTGCTCTTATTTACTAACCTGTCACCCCTCACTAGAAAAGACCCTGATGCTGGGAAAGACAGAAGGCAGGAGGAGAAGGAGATGACAGAGGGCAAGATGGTTGGATGACATCACTGACTCAATGGACATGAGTTTGAGCAAGCCCTGGGAAATGGTGAAGGACAGGGAAGCCTGGCGTGCTGCAGTCCATGGGGTCACAAAGAGCCGGACACGACTCAGTGACTGAACAACAGCAATATCCCTCAATAGACATGAGGTTCCCACTGCATACAGGTTTAGTGCCTGTTTTGCTAACCACGGTGACCTCAGCAACCAGCCCTGTGCCTGGCACGTGGGAAGTAATCAGTAAATACTTGCTGAGTGAATGAATGTGCGAACTGCTGGATGTGGGGTTTTTACGCAGGGAGCTTGGGAGATGAAGCTGGAAAGACAAGTTTGGCTCAGGTGGCACAGGGCCTTGAATGCCCTGGTGAGGCATTTGGACTCACTTGAGGTACTCATGGAGGGTTCTGAAGTATAACAAGAACTTGGGCAGGGGTCTGCTTCTGATGGGCGAATCTGGCACCACACACCGCATAATGGGTGAGGGGGGCTGGTTTGGAAGTGGCTCTAGACTGGATCGAACCCCCTGTAATACCTCCTGCTCTCTCTTCCTTCTGGTGTGTATGAAACACACAAGAAAGACAAAATCAACATTTTCACTCCATCATCATCTCACAAAGTCATTATGCTGGACCCGTTCATTGCTTTGTCTGCAGAGATCATTGGGGCCTGGTCTTTACTCTAGAGCAGCATCGTCCAGTAGAAATATAACACAAGCCACATATGTAATTTAAAATTATCTAGTAACCACGTGAAAAAAGTAAAAAGAAACAGGTGAAATGAACACATTAAAATTTTTATTGAAGCCCCAGATTATTTTCATTTTACTACACAAGTGATTGAGCTATTTTAATCTTTTATTTTGTCTGTGTATTTTATACTTATAGTGCATCTCAGCTCAGACTAGCCATCTGTCTAAAGCTTTCCAGGTATGGCTTGCAAATATTTTACTGGATGGCTTCCCTTCAACGAAAAAGGGAAAGAGGCAGGCTGGACCTTGGGACAGATGTGGTTTTACTACTTTGCAAAACATTACAAAGAGTTCCCTGCCCTGGAGCGGGCATGGAGCAAGGACCTGGCAGGGCTCAGTGGCTGTGTATTCCTCTTGTTCCTCTGACATTCCTTTTCTTCCTGGTTCCAGAGAGGGGCCAGTTCCAGCCAGACCCATGGTCCGGCTGTCCTGAATAGAGCTGGACGGGGTAAGTCATGAGATTCGCCCCCCACTCCACTCACCCTCGCCCCCCCACCCACTTCCTCTGGGGGTTTGAAGGGAATTTTTCTGTGTGGAGGGAGCAAAGCCTAAAAGCTTCTTCAGTTTAAACATTGATCAGGTGACACTCTGTTCTCATTATGGGTCTATTGAATAACCTGGAGTTAAGATGGACAGGCAGGCTCCTCGCAGGGCTGTTGAACTCTGTCCCCAAAGCAGAGGCCACTGGGACAGCTCAGATGGCTGGTACTGGAGGCAGGGGGAGGAGGCGACAGTGGGCAGAGAATGTAAGGTGTGGATCCTAACTGATCCCTTAGCAGGTGGGAGGATCCAGGAGAAGGGAGAGGCCCTGCAGCGCAGCCTCCCTGCTTGGGCCAAGTTCCCACCTCAGACTATTCACCCAGTAAGCTGCAGTGATCCTGTTACATTTGGAGCAGATAATGTCACTGCTTTGCCTCCAATGTCACCCCTCCAATGGCCTATC